TCGAGAAAATGCCACGCTTGCTAGGCCTGGACGACGGGGGCGTGTGGAGACCGTGGTGAGGGACCACCCCGTGTGCACCCCCTATGGTGTCGAGAAAGTGCCACGCCTGCTGTGCCTCGATCACCAGGGCGTATAGAGACCGTCGCGAGGGACCACCCACTGCGCACCCCCTACGATGTCGAACAAATGCCACGCCTGCTGTGCCTGGACAGCTGGAGCGTATAGAGACCGCGGTGCCCTGCGCATCCCCTTATTGTGTCGAGAAAATGCCACGCCTGCTATGCCCGCGGTGAAAGACCACCCCCTGCGCACCCGCTATGGTGTCGAGAATGTGCCACGCCTGCCGTGCCCTGCAAGCCTGGAAGGTATAGCGACCGCCGTGAGAGACCACCAACTGCGCACCCCCTCTGGTGTCAAGAACGTGCCACGCGTGTCGTGCCCTGCGAGCCTGAAGCGTATGGAGACCGCGCAGGGAGTGCACGAAAGTGACTAGGTCTGCGTCGGTGTGTCATGTGTATGTTTAAGATCTGTGTCAGGCTGTATGTGGACGTGTGTCTCATGTGGGTGCCCAGTCTGTGGTGCCTGCGTCTTGGGTGTATGATGCAGTGAACACGCCAAGTGCGCACTAGCGTTGTATGATGTGTGTTTGTGTGTGCATGCGTGCAACTGTATGTAGACGCGTGTCTCATGTACGTGCCGTGCATGTGTTGCGCGTGGGTGAAGGAAGGAAGGAAGAGGAGGGGAGGAGGGAGGGAGGGGGGGGAGGTCTGTTGCGGGAGACGCGGGTGCGACGCGGCAGGGAAGAAACCAGAACCCCACGAAACATGTGGGGAACAAGAGCCGCACTAAGCACGCGGGGAACAAAAAGGTCACCGGGAGGTTTCGGATCAGACAAATCACAGGTGTGAGCATTTCAGCAACCCTGCCCTTCTGTTCCTTGTTCGTGCTGTCCCCCTGGCTGATAGTGGCGTCGAGCGAGCTGATGAGCTTCCCCATCTCTTCGTTCAGCTGGCTGACGACCATCACGTCGAAGGCCCCTCTTGTGCTCGGTGGCTTAGACAAGGCGTTCGGCAGCGCGGTCATGAGGGACTCGACCAGCACAAACTTCTTCAGCGCGGCCTTGAGGCGGCTCACCGTCCCGGCGACCTCCCCCTCGGGCAAAGTGCCCTCGGCCAGCGGGCTCACCATGTCCTTCAGGGCGCCCTCCAGCACGCCCTTCTTCGCACGTGCCTCCTTCAGGTCCGCCTCCGCCAGCATCTGGGCGGTCTGTGCCTCTCCGACGGCACCCTTGGCCTGCTTGAAGGAGGCGGCGGCCGCTGCGAGGGCCACCTTCTTGGCCTTGCCATCCTCCTCGAGAGCGGCGAGGGCCTCCTTCTTGGTTTTGGCATCCTCTGGGCGATCGGCATCTTATCCGTGCTCCCTCTCCTCCTCCTCCTCCTGCTCCTTCTCCTCCTCCTCCTCCTGCTGCTCCTCCTCCTCCTTCTCCTCCTCCTCCTCCACCTCCTCCTCCCATTCTTCCTCCTCCTCCTCCTCCTCCGCCTCCTCCTCACCCCACGAGGTGCCAGAGCGGCGGCATAGATGGAACTCTGGCCTCAGGAGCCACGTGTTCTTATCCATGCACGCTGCCCGTGGCGCCCAGAGTGCGGGGCAGCAGCAGCATGGATCGAACGACGATCGCCGATCCTCCTCGCAGGCGACCTTCCTCCCAGTCCCGCCGTCAACAACACCCTGCGCTTCAGTGACCGCCTGCTTCAGGGCGACCTCCGTGGCTACCAAAGCCTCGCACACCATCTCCACGACGCCCTCCTGGTGCGCGTGACGGGCATCCTTCGGCACGGCCAGCGAGCCCTGGAGCATCGTGGCCAGCATCTCAGAAACAACCTCCGGGATTACTTCTGCCGCTGCTGCCTGCTCCAGGCCCTCATCGTGGGCGGGGAACATATCTACATCCGCGGCCTCGCGGGCCAGGCCCCTGGGCCGCGAACCCATGGATGCGAGGCGCTCTTCCGCGGATGCCCCGCGCGGATGGTATCCAGGCGACCGCGTAGCCACGGGACCTCGCCGCGGAATCCAGACCGCGGGGGCGTGGACATACGTAGAGATGTCCGCCGCCCTTGGCCTCGGAGACGTGCACGCAGTGCTGGCTGACGGGGTCCAGCTTCTGCTTCTTGCCCGTGCCCTTCGTGGCGGCGGCGGGGCGCTTCTGAACCATGGCTGCGATGCGCCAAAGGGTGCGATGGGCGCCCGGTGGTGCAGCTGCTCGGCCGGAAATACTCGGGAGCCCGACGGGGAGGAGGACAAGCAACAACACCACGCAGGTCTGAGAGAGGGGAGGAGACAGAGACACAGGAACAGGAGTGGAGGAATGGAAAGAGCGAGGCGGGGATGTATCGATCACCACCGCCCGCGGGATCGGTCTTCGGGGACCTCGGCAGGCGATGGAAAAAGACAAATTCGGCATCCCCGGGCTCCGAATGTATGAAATCCACAGCCTGCCGAGGTCCCCCAGTATCGATCCCCCGGGCCGTGGCTCTCGATACATCCGCGCCTCGGAAAAAATATTCAAGAAGAGGAGGGGAAGGCGCATTGAAACGGGACAGAGTCCCTCCCAACACAGCCGACATCCTTGAGAGCCCCTCTCTATCTCCGTCCTCGTTCCCTCTCCTCTCTCTCTTTCAGGCATGCGCTGGCGTGGGTTCAGGATGGTCAGATCTGGCGCGTGGGCGCCAGATCCATGGAGTGGGGAAGACACTCTCCCGAAACATGAGGCTGGTGCCGCCTGATTTGGCGAAGGGAGCGCACCGATGTTGTATGGCGGGGCCCGTCGCGAATCGACGCGCCTTAATCCATGTGTGCGTCCCTTCGCCTCCACCGTGCAGTGGAGGCCAATCCACGAGAAACCGTAGGGCGGCCCGCATCTCCAGGGCACGACTGGCCAGGACCTCTCGAGGCGGACCTGGCCATGGCCGCGGCCCCCGCGTCCCAGGAAAGCCACCAAAAAGCCCGGGCACGCCCCCCAAAACCTCGGTCCTGAAGCCTCACCCCTCGAACCTCGGCCCTCGAAACCCAGCCTTCGCGAACGCCACTCCTCGAGCATCGCCCCTCGAACCTCGATCCTCGTTCTCGATCCTCGAGCCTGGAGGAGGCCGAGGCCGCGACAGCGAAAACGCGAGAGAGAAAAAGAGAGATAGAGAGAGAGAGAGAGAGAGAGAGAGAGAGAGAGAGAGAGAGAGCGCGAGAGAGAGAGAGAGAGAGAAGGAGAGCAGCAGCAACAACAACCAGAAGGGAAAGACCGCGGACACACCACCGCGGCGGACGGCGCGCGAGCGCCCCGCGGAGGCCCCTTGGCCCCCCCCCGCCCCCAAAGCGGGCCTGCGCCGCCCCAGAGGCCCGGGAGCAAGAAAAACCTTTGGGAGCGCGCCCCAGAGGCAACCGAATCTCTGCGGGGGGGGAAGAGGACGAAGGCGAGCAGGAGGAGGAAGACGACGACGAATGCGAGGAGGGGGAGGGGGAGGGGGAGGAGGAGGAGGAGGAGGAGGAGGAGGAGGAGGAGGAGCGCACGTACCCTCTGAGATGCGCCCATGGAAGGTCACACTCGATGAGAATTAACACTCAGCTGTCCTCCAGACCTGAAAGAGGATGAGGCACGAGGGACAGCAATGGCAGGAGCAGCACGGCGTGGCGGCTGCCTGGTGGAAGCTCTCGCTGACGAGTTGGCGTCGATACACGTCAGGGCTGCATGCCTGGCGCGAAACGACGTGGTGTAGGATCCTTGGAGGTGCGGGTTCGAAGCGAGCTCGCACCTTAATGTATGATAGATATGAAACGCAAGGACAGAGAGATGATTACACCGACAGATATCGATGGGATCATACTCACAAACTACATTATAGGCGGATGGAGGTCCTAGCCCGAGACGGATCAGCGGGTCCTGGGGGATCACCGCGCGTGGGAGGGCACGCATGTGAGAAAGACGAGGGCACCGAAGGTAGTGGCCGATCGAGTGAGGGGCGCATACTTCGATCCCTAAGACCTCCTCGCTGCAACCGAAACGGCACCCCTTGGGCGTCAAGATTCCTACGCGCGAGGAAGTGATCCACGCTCCCGCGAGGGTCTTGAGATGGGGCCAGACATACGAGGGGGGGGCGGGAGGACAGCACAGCTTTAAGAGCCGACCAACGATTGGCAAGCTCCGGAGCATCAGGCAGCTGCTGATCAAACATCCACTTCGGCAATCGACGAGAGAGAAGGTTAGGAATGGAGCCGGGGAACAGATCAGCGCAAAGAGACCGAAGGAGACGTGTCTGTCTGCTGGGGCCAGCTCTTTTCCGCCGATACTCTCCGTCGTCCGCGGCAGGAGCGAGCGGCAGCTCCGCGGCGGCCTCAACGGCACGACGGTAAATCGATCGAGGGATTCGCGACATCGTGACGAGGGACCGTTTCGCCCTCGCCCGAAACGCCGTCGGAAATTCGCGCAGCAGCTCCTCAAGAGCCATAAACAACTGGGCAATCGAGACACGACGTTTCCAAAACCACGGCGACCACTCATGGCGCACAAGGTCTACAATCGTTCCGAAATCCTCCGCCGCCGTCCTCAGCCGCTCACCGACGACCCTTCATCCTCCGAGCGTGGTGTGGCACGCGCGCCACGCGTTGGCTATGCATGAAAGCTCTGCTGGCAAGGGCGCGGCCGACGGCATCCACCGACCTAGCCCCAGGAGCTCCTCGATGCGAAGCGAATTTGGGGGAATGCGAAGCAGCTTGTGCAGCGCCAAGCTTTCCTTGGAGAGGAGGTGGGGGTCAGGAGGAAAAAACTGGGCAACATGCGAGAGGCGCGGAAGGACAGCCATAAGGTAGAGACGGCAGGAGGCCTCAGAGGGGGCCCGAGACAATGCAATCTCTCGGCACCGAGACCACCATTTCTGGCCAGGATCTTTCCACTGGGACCGAAGGTCGGCCTCAGGGCCGAGCCGAACCCCGAGGTACTTCGCAGCGCCCGCGATTTAAAAATTTGCCCACCCTGGGGCTACCGCAGCGAGAGCCTCCCTCGCACGGCAAATCGTCGGCTCATCACACGGGGCCCAAAGAGGCACGAAACAACACTTGCTAGGCTGAAGCTGAAGTGAAGCTAATTGCTCGGCTTGCTCGAACGTGCGGCGCATGTGCTTAGCACTCTGGATGGTCATCGAGACCGCACCAACATCGTCGGCGCACCCCCCGAGGGCCCCCACTTGCTCCGAAGGAAACGCCATGGCCAGACAACGCACCCAGGGATCGAAACCGAGCGCCCAGGGACTCCCCGACAGTGGACACCCTTGGGGGACGCCTGACGTGATAATAAAAAGAGGCTCTACATTTTCACCCACACGGGCGTGTCCGAGGGTGCCGTGTGCCAACCCGTCGAGCATGTTGTAATAGGAGGAGGGGAGACGAAACCGCTCAAGCGTGCGACGGAGGAGAAGTTGAGACATGCTCGGGAAGGCAGCACGCACATCGAAACTAAAGAACCCTGGGAGCCGCTCGGCCGCCGCTGGAAGGAGCCCCGCCCGCCGACACTCGGCATCGAGAGCAACAATGTGCTCGCCGAACTTCCTTCCAGCAACGAACCCCTTCTGGACTCCATGGGTATCTCTAGCTACGACACCAGCTAGATACAGGTTGACCGCAGCGGCCACACCTTTACTGTCCGAATGTTTTAAGGCCAGGGGCCTCGTGCACTCAGGAGACCTCGTGCAGTCCACGAGGTCCGAGGGCTCGTCGCCCTTGGGCAGGAACGCCAGCAAACAATCGTTGAAGTGCTCAGGCGGCCGCCGCCCGCGAGCCATCTCCTCCAAGACTCTGTGCAGCACCATGGTCAGCTGCGGATGGCCACGCCACGCACGAGCTGGAAGTCGATCAGGTCCAGGAGCTGAGTCCTTCGCCCGCTTGAAGACGAGGCGGAGGTTGTCGATTGTGGGCATCTGCAGCGTCGCATTGTCGAGCTCGGGCATGCGACGGTCCAGGAAGGGGCCGATCAAGTCCTCACGAACAGGGGAGGCCGTGAAGGCGGGCTCCCAGTGCCTCTTCAGCGCCTCGACCATGGCACTGGCATCACGCACCACCTCGACCTCCTCAAGGGCCCGCGCCCCCTGCGCCGCCACTTCGTGGCCATTTTCTTCCCGCCCCATGCTGGGCTTCTGGCCCTGCCTCACGCCAGCCAGGATCAGCATCCGCTTGGTGTTGTTCCACAGAAGCGCCCGCTGCACCATCACCGTCGCGCTCCGCTTGGTAATGCGGCCTGCTCCCTGACGTTCCAGCGCAGCAGCTTCGCGATCCAACATGGCAGCGTGCGCTTCCTTCACCCGGGTGTGGAACGAGTCGGGCTGCCTCAGCTTCACCTCGTGCCCATCGATGTAGAGCCCCCTCTCGCCGACGATCGCGTGGTTGATCAACTTCTTGGCAAGCCGCACGTCCTGGCGCCACACCGCGCGAGCCGCAGCACCAAAAGCCAACAAGGTCGCCCTTCTCGGGATATCGCCTTCTCCGGTGACCTCCTTGGCCAGGAGTTCGTTACGCGCAGTCTCCGCCGCCACCGTCATAAGCTCCTTGATCACCTCCCACTGGCGGTGCGGGTCCATCATCTCGTAGTTGCAACCCTCGATGCACCTCTCGAGGGCAGCACGGTACTCGTCGCTCTTGAAGATGAAGGACGGGGTGCGCTGGTGGGCCGAAGCAGGCGACCGTCGAGTAGCCATCCGAAGTTTGATGATAGCATGGTCGCTCAGCTGCTTGGCATTCAATGTGAAAGCGTCCTGGATCACCTCCACGCCCATCTCGGTCTCAATGGCGAAGGCCGACTCGATGGAAACAAAGAACCGATCAATAGTCCTCAAAGTATTGTTATCAGCAGTGCAATGGGTCGGGATTGGAGAACAGACCTCAAGCATCGCCGCATCGTTGAAGAGCTCACGCCAGAACGGCTCCGAACGGTTGGCTCGGCCTGCCTCTGATCTCCTCGCTTGTTTCGGTTGTGGATACAGAATGGACTCCGTCGGCACATCGGTCATGTTGAAGTCACCGCCGACAATGAACGCGTGCTTCATCGGGTCGCGCTTCGACCAGGCGATGCATTCCTTCCAGACCCGCTTGATCTTGGCACGACCCGCCTCCGAGATATCGTAATTGTGAATATTCATGATGCGGAACTCGCCTTTGTCACAGGGTTCTCGATGCTGGTCACGATGGCCCTGCCATCCTCCAAAGTGCGATGACGGAGGCGAGGAAGTCCCGCAGCGCCAGCAGCCGCCACAGTGTGCGCGTCATACCATGGAATCAGGATCGCCACTCCGCCTGCACTGGGACGGTCCGTCCCCGAAAAATGTATCTTGTAGTTCACGTTAAACTGGTTCAGGTAGTTGGTCAATGTGATTTCGAAGCCATGGACCTCTTGAATGATAACGACGTTACGCTTGCGAAGAAGGTCAGCCACTAGTGCAATTTTGCGGCGACGCCGAGCAGGATCCCGACGCAGCAGAAGGCCGTGGGCATTCCAGCAGACAATGCCGACGTGAAGCGAAGATGCCTGGAGCTCCCACGGCGCGAAGCGCTGGCTAGGAACACGTCCAATTTGATGTGTCAACCTCCTTCCAAAGATTTTTGAATTCAGTACCAACTGCTTGCCAATCGATGCCGAGCCGCTCTGCCGCCTGCGTGTCCCACGCCAACTTCGTAGCTTCATCAGGGCCTTGAACCTGTACCGAGACAATCGCTGTCTGGCCGACGTAGACCAGTCCTTTGGGTCTCCGAGCCCAGCACTCCGTAGAACGCGTGCTAGCCACCGTTGAAGACGCCGCAGCTGTCCGGACCAATCCCAGAAGCTTTTTGGTCTGAACCCCCTTCCGTATGTCCTTCGCATTCTTGTCAGGGTTGACGTACACGGAGACGCGAGCTCCACTGACAGCGAGCACCTCGAATTGGCGCCAGCCTTGATTGTTGGGCAACTTGAGGGATGTCTGCAAGGCATTGGCTCGGGCAACTCCAGCGGCTCCTCCAACACACTGCAGGATGAACTTCTTCTGCGGGGTGTCGCCCACCAATCGCAGCTGGTCCCTGGAGACGTTGGCCGCCTGCATCCACTCAGCAAGTGCATTGAAGATGTCATTCGGGGCAGCCGCCACGTCGCTGGAAAGAGTGAAGACCGAGGGATCGATGGTGCGGTTCCACTCCATGAGCTTGGCAACGTCGATGGGCGCTGCCACCTGCTGCTCGGCGATGGCCGGGGTGTCCTGGAGCTGCTTGACCGACGCCTTGAGGGCCCCCTGCTCTTGGCTAAGCTCCACATTCTTGGCTTGAACCACCCGAAGCTGAGCCTGCTGCCTGTCGAGGCGCTCCGAGTGGGGCTGGAGCTGCGTCGCCACCATCGTGCCCAACTCCTCACGGACAGACTGCATCGTGTCCTGGAAGGTGGTCTCCATGTACTTGGCCATGTGGCCTCTGAACTGCTCTATGTGCTTGTTGATGATGTTGTCGGCAGCACCTCCATCTGGGCCACCGCTGGGAGCGCTGGCTCCCGTCGCGACGCCGTTGGGAGGAAGTCCTGCCGCTGCTCGATGTTGTTTCCAAGGGTCCTGTTCCTGAAGATCGTCTCGCTCTCCTGCACGATGAGCCCTGCGTTCGCCACTCCGACTCTTGGCGTCAGCGTCCTCGTCACTGCCGCCAGGACCAGCGCGGCCGCGGAGCACCATGGCAGTAGAGAAAAAAGATGCGTGGTGCGAAAGTGCCCGCTGGCACCCGACGTGCCAGAAATCCTTAAGAAAGGTTGCCCGCTCTCGGCGCAGCCCCCCGCTACTGCTGCAACGGGACGGAGGTGCCTTGAGCCAAAATGGCGACGGAGAGGAGGAGGAGGAGGAGGAGGAGGAGGATGAGACCGATGCATTTTGACATTGCCACATCAACTGAGAGGTGCATTTGCAGGCTTGTGCGAGATAATTGGACTCTTTCAAAGATGCAGGCGAGCACAAGCCACTGAGACTTCAAACTCGGGAGGGAAGGGAGGGAGACTAGAACCAAAAAGGCTACACTACAGAGCAATCTAGAATGCGGACTCAACTGGGAGCAAGCTCTGGAGATGAGACCGATGCATTTTGACATTGCCACATCAACTGAGAGGTGCATTTGCAGGCTTGTGCGAGATAATTGGACTCTTTCAAAGGTGCAGGCGAGCACGAGCCACTGAGACTTCAAACTCCAAAACCCCAGATGCAAGCGTGGCCGTGCCTTGCGACAGCGCAGCTACAGTGCCGGGGCCACAGTGGTGGCCAGCAGTGAGCAGAGCTCGTGAGGATACGGCTGCGCCATGGCCGTGCGCCTAACTCCTTTGGCGTCTTTTCCCTCCAGGATCGTGTGCGAGAGGCCTGAGCGCGAGCAGACGGACTTGGAGGGTCGGCAACGCGGCAGAGCAAGCGGTGGCCAGTTCACAAAAAGGATTTTGGTGGCCTTCTTCCAAGGCATCCCAAATTGGCAGAAGTCTGTTACCTGCATGTTGGCCGTTGGCAGAAGCGACAACGACCTGACTTCTTTGGTGAGCCAGACGCGGCTCGTGGCTGGATTCTCAAGGGCACAGGGGCAGCCACACTCAGCTGCCAGCCTAAAAATTCTAGTCATTTGCCTCAAAAGTAAATTATGCAAACGCACTTTGCCTGCATCACCGGGCGAGAGATCGGGCAGCCGTACAGGTGGGCATCGCCATCTCTAAGCGGGCATGGCCCTCGCCCGTCCCAGCGCCTGGCTCTGGACCACGCCTGACAAGGAAGACCGAACCAGACGAAAACGATGACGCGATCCACAATATCTTTCTCCAGCTTGCGTAGAGACTCAATCCTCAGAAAGTCAGCCGCCTCGCCTTGCTCGATGTCCCAGGCCTCTGCTGGGATGCCGGCGCTGGCGAGAGCTTGCGAGAGCCTCCCGCAGCCTGAGAAGACCTCGACGGCCCGGCACCCCTGGGCGAGGCGGCGGCCCGTGGGAACAAAGAGGTGTGGAATGCGTCCTTCAACTTGTCTAAAGCCAGGGCGCCTTTCTTGTTCGTGTCGTCCGAGACCTTTGCCTGTTGTTGGAGGAGGCGTCCGTGGGCCTCGTACCTCCGCACCGTGCGATCGGAGAGCCACCGACCCCTTGCCTTGACGCTTGCCAACGACCGTCTCTTGAACAG